ATTGACATTCACTCATTCATTGTTTTCCAAACTGGGCCGCTTTAAGATGAGTGGACTACAACCCCAAGAACTCCCCAGCCAGCTGGCGGGGGAATTCTGGGAGTTGAAGTCCACTCATCTTAAAGCGGCCAAGTTTGGACAACACTGATGTAGAGAATGACATTTCTATCCTTGAGAGCGCCAATTCTTGCGTGCAACCATGCACTAGACATATCTGCAACTAGAGAAACTGGTTCTGCAGTGGGAAACTAGATCCCCAATCTTAAGCAAGACCCTACCACTTTTTATGACAAGCACGTTCCTTTCCAAAGATTAGAAAGAAACCTTTTCAAAGATGAGACTGGAACCATCCACAGTTCTTCTGTTTCAAGTATTGATTGATGTTTCAATTTCAAGAAGAAAACTCAATGCCGCAACCACAGCGCATCAGCAGAGTCTGGTCACGGCACTGAGAAAACTTTCTAAAACGCAAGCAGTTTCATTTCTGTGACAGCAGGGAACTTAAGGGATACCAAGAAGAAGCATCGGCCATGCCAGAGCAATGCGCAGGTAGGTCTCTACCTCACGTCAGGTATGGCCTCTCTCTCAGGACAGAGTGAAGCCACATCTGGAACAGAAGTGGAAACAGAGGGGTCAGGGAGGGCAAAAAAACTGTCCATTTCTTAATTTCTTGCTACATTCAGGGAGGTGGCATGCAGATTTTCTGCCTCTGGAGCCAACACAACGGGCTACAACGTTCATGCTTCCTTGCTCCCTGAGTTGAAGTTCACCCCGGTTTTAGGATGCAAAGGCCTTGCTTTGCTTTTGGCAACTTAGTCTCCCAATAAGGCAGCATCTTCTTTTTTCTTCTGTTTGTCTGCTGCTCTCTTTGTCCACCTGGGATCACTCAATGTTTCTCACAGGAAGCTATCCCTCAGATGTGGGCCAGCCCGAGTTGAAAAATTGGTCCCCTGGAAATAGAAATCAGGCTCAAAGGGCAAAACCGAATCTTCATATATTTTGAGATCTGGAGGATTTCAGCTGGACAGATTCAAAGCGGTCTTCTTTTTCCTGGGTTACAAAAGACAAGAGTTTGAAGGTGACCACTGGTCCATCCAACAGAGCTGAGCAAACGGCCCCCAAATATGACAATCTGTGCTAACATCAAAGAAATATGGTTCCAGTAAGACTATCATATGGAAAATATAACAAAAATTGTCCCCTTCAAGTCAGATTTGAAATCTGACTCCTGGTGACTTCATAGGTACAACTATGTCACTCTTTTAGCCACGATATGAAATAATTTGCAACTGCTTTTTTCAGGGATGCTTTTTTAACTTTCCAGGCTAGTCTTCAGCCCTGGGATTCCCTGGTGTTCTCCCATCCAAGGATTAACCAGGCCCTAACTTGACTAGCTTCCAAGACAAATCATTTACAAATATATTAAATCCATCAAAACATTTACATAGACATTGACTGCACTTGGTTATTGAATTATCCAATTTTATGAGTTCACATAATACATAATAATACATAAACTAATCAGACAGGCTACATACGACAAATATACTAGCCCATACAAATCCAAAATCAAAACAAACAGCCCCCCCCCAGGTGTGAATACAGCCGCCAAGTCTCTCTGGATAAGCAAATGGTGTGAACACAGCATCTATCTATCAGTAATTTTGGGACTGCTGCCAAATTGTATGTATTTGGCCAGAAGCTGACTTCTTCAGACCCATGACAGTATGAATATCAGGTGTCCAACTACAACAAAACACAAAAGCACAAATGCAGTGCTGGTTCGTGACTCATTAAAGCAACCGTTGTCGCTTTCCTGGATCATGTAGGTGTTGCGAGAAGGTTTCTGCTGCAGCCACACAATTCCAGAAACAGACATAACTACTTTTAGGAATGATGGACATGTGCTGCATTTGCCCTTTCTGATGTTCCAAAGCATCTCTTCCAAATCAAATCTAAGACCAGCACAAACCCAGTGGTTTGAAGGGTGAGAATGCAGCAGCCTGCCTCTGAGAGACTTCTTGCTCTCATTCCCCACCCACAAAGGCTAAAAAACAATCCAAAATGATTTGCTCATGTTTCTTCCAGTGACATCACAGCATCATCAGATGGCCTCCTGCCTCTTCCTTCAGAAGGTCAGCTATCCTGATGCAGTAGAATAAAAAAAGGTAGGATGCATTTCATCTATTCAAATTATCTGAAAGGGAAAGTTGATCCAAGAAATAAGGAATTGGATTTGATTATCTAATCTCACATATAGCAGGGGTGAAAATGACTGAGTTTCTACAGTACGTATTACGTTTTATATCTAGTTTGCACACCCATCCCAAAAGAGGAAAAAAAATCTTTCAAGCACAACTTTTTATTCAGCTCAGTCGGTTTTTATTAAAACATTCCATTTTGAATATGCTTAGTGTCTAAACTTTAAATAGCTTTTTAAACATTTTCTGGAAGCTGCTTTGAAGTTTAGAGAGATGGGTACGTGGTAGTTTTACATGAAGGAAGATTTTCATCTGCCACGAGTTAAAAAGGAAAAACCAATGAGCAAGACGGAAAAATCAAGAGACGTGGGGGACAAGATTTGCACATTAAGAAAAAAATAATGATAAAAGGGCATAGAGGATGCTTGCCTATAAGGCTTGCACTGTGCAATAACCAGCCTTATTTGTGAAATATTCAGATAACGATGTCTGTATTGGTAATCCACCCACGTTTTCCTATAACTTATTCTGCTGTTATCATTTCTTTCCAATGATAATTCGGAGGACCAGACTGAACTGTTGCCTTTGGATCACAGCTATGCCTTAGGAATCATCCTTTGTGGCTCCCATGCTTACCTTAGTGGCCAGTGACTTGAGTTTTCCTAGTAATGACTGTTTATTTGAATACACTATTTCTTCTTCATTGTCTTCCCCTTCCATGATAGCACAGCTATCCGCAGCAGGAAGTTCACACTCTTTCGAATTCGCGGTCATCACCAGTTTAGAATATTTATACTCTAATCTGTAGGAATCAATACAGACAGGGGCAATGTTGTCAACTCACGCAGACCGTATCTGAATGTATCACACAGCGAGATAGGAAAAGATTCTTCAGATAGATTGTTTAATACAATTAAGCAGAACCTGACAATGAAAAGTTGTGTTGTTTACCAGACCTGGAAACGAGGCAATGCAGTCATATATCAAAAGTACATGGGGATGTTTCTCACTCCTCCACCTCCTGTATAATTGATGGTGCAAGACTACAAGAGCCCTGCAGTTTGGCTCCTTAGCAAGGTCATGTGCCAAACTAATGGTGGGGAATCAGGAATTGGGAGGTGGGCCAATGGGACTCCACCAATGGGAGGACAGCCTGTCTCTCAGTGTGGCAGAAAGGAAACCAAGCTGTTTGAAGAAATGACTATTACAACAATTTTGCAAATGCCCCCCCCCTAAAATATAACCCATTGAAATACCATTTTTGCGAGGCAATGGTGAGACCTAATCAGCATAGTGTCCCACTTTACTCCCTTGTTGATTTGGCTATTATTTCTTCTTAATGAGGGAAGACTGAAAAAAAGGGGGATTCCTGCTTGGGATGGTTAATTTGGGGGGAAAGGATAAGCAGGTGCACCCATGAAACTCTTTAAACATTTCCACGCTCTCCAAAAATATTAAAAAAAGAGAAATATATCTTTCTACCCCTTCTGAAGGCTCTTGGGGTTCAGGAAGGGGTGTGGTAGGATGCAGGCACCCCTTGTATTAGAGCACAAGAAGTGGTCTGCTATGTCAGGCAATCACTGTCCAATCTACTGTAGCTGAAAATTTGCTAAGCCTCAAGCAGAAATTTTTCCTAGGCTAAGCATAAGTGCCCAGCATTCAAAGGATCACAGAGATCCTTTATACCAGTGTTTCTCAATGTGAGGAACTTTAAAGATGTATGGACTTCAACTCCCAGAATTCCCCTGGGGAATTCTGGGAGTTGAAGTTCACATATCTTAAAGTTCCTGAGGTTGAGAAACACTGATTTATTGATCTGAATAGCATGAAACAGCCTTGGTTGTGACCTATACTTCTTTATCAAACGGGCCCTGAATTTATTATTCCAGTTACATCCACTGTTGAGTAAATGTACTGTTTTGAGAAAGCAGGTAACTTTCCCAGGATGCTTCAAAAAACGTTTGAAAATGGGTTCTATGCTTATTATGCAATACAAAATTGTGTTGATTTGGGGGGGGAGGGTAGTGGAGGGCAGGGGGAAGTTTAAAAGCTGCAGTAAAAGATGGCCACACTCTTGATTCAGGGGTGAGGTGTCTATGGTGGACAGCACTGCCAGGTGAGAACAAGGGATCTAGAAAGCATACAGAGTCAGAAAAAGACAGTGTCCCAAACTGAGAGGTGAATTTAACCAAAGAAAATCTGCTGATCAAATAGGTATCTCCTTAAAAGGGGTTGCAAGACTCACTTCTGGTTCTTCTTCCAGAAATAGCAAGTTAAGGCAATGAGCAGTACTCCTGTGAAAGCACCAACCCCTGCACCAACTTTCAGCCAGAAATCCACTGTTTCACAGATTATGATCTTTTTTTCAGGCAAGGAAACCCCTTTTATACATAACTTTGGTTCGTTCCAGACATATAAGGTTTCCTATGCAAGCATGTGAGAAAGACAGAGAGAGAGAGAGAAAGAAAAAGAAAATCTTATACATTTGTTTTCCTAGAAGACAACTCCATTCAATTCTATGGAGCTTACTTTTAAGCAATAACATAGTCAGTCGATTCCATGCAAGCTAAACTAATGTATGTACATACATGTATATATGTTTTTATTTAAGTAATGTAATAACAAAGTGAAACATCCTAGGAACCTCAGGTCCTAATCCAACCTCGGTCTGTGACTTCCACTGGGGACAAATGACTCCACTGTAAGTTGTTAGGACAAGGATACAACTACAGAGGGGGGGGGGGGGGGGGTTCCCTCTCTTCCTTGTTCTAGAGCTCATTTAGTTTACTCATCTGTGTTATGTTTCTAAAGCAAGAGCTCATACTCAAGGTATTTCTTTTATAGGTAGAACTAATCTGCATGTTGCTGAAGATGCCTTCTTGCTTAAGAAGTACTCGGCTGTCTGGTCCAGCCCACTCCCAGGGTTTTCTGCAAGAATCTCTGCAAACAACAAGCACTAGCGTTCCATTCAAACAATAATGTCACCATCCATGTATTATTTTATACCCTGTGGACAACTTGACTATAAGGCCACATTTGAGAGGGCTGGCAAATTTCTCACCCTTTCTTTTGAATTCAGGATACCCAGTAGCATTCATCCATACTCAGTTTTATCCCCAAAGAACAGATCTAGCAGTTTAAGTAAAACTGGCCAGCGATCAACTGGTGCTCTGCAGACAACTGCCTACCCTCTCTTCTTTTAGTATATTATTCCTTTCTTTGTGTTTCTCTTTTAAAAGTTTGTACTGATTGTAAGTCTTAGCACATTATCCTATTTTGAAGTGCCTTATGCTTCAGCTGTTCTTGATGGCAGAAGAAATGATATGCTTGAGGTCCCTTGTGCCCTATCCAAATTTGTAACCGAATTGTAATTTTTAATAAGATAAAAGGCAAAATGTCTAAATGCACAACTGTGTTAATCCTGCCCACAAACATTGCTTTGCCCTGACCCTGTCTACTTTGGGGAAATATGGACCCCACCACATCATATAAGGTCCAAATACAACCCTTTTCCTTAGCAATGATATAAACTTGTTCTAATGTGGTTTTGCAGGTGAGATATTTTGACCCTGGGATGTTCGATCAGAGATTATATTCATGTCCTCTCTGTGGGTATCTCTTCAACATCTCCCTGGCCACTGTGGTTCTCATCTTATATTGTGTATATATATGTATATGTATATATACATGTGTGTGTGTGTGTGTATATGTATGAATGTATATGTATATATACATACATACATACATTGAAAACTTTAAACACAAGAATAAGACTAATACAAACTAAAATAGGGGAAGAAAGAAAAGAGAGAAAAGGAAAAATGAAAGAAAAAACTAAAGTTGCAAAAAGAAAAAGAGTAGCAGAAAAATAGAAAAGAAAAAAAATACAAAGAAGTGGGTTCCGATCTTCTTTACATCAGTTATAAGTACAATTATAAATTTACCTCTTACTCTAAGGTTACATCATGACTTTCTTCTTTCTATAATCTATCTGATCTAATCATCAAAACCATAAATCATAAGTTCATTTTTTTCTTGTTTATGCAATAATTCCATAAGGGGTTTCCAGTCACCAATAAATGTAGATGTTGTCTTTTCTCTAATCAAACAGGTCAATTTGGCCAACTCAGCAAATTCTATCATCTTCACCAACCATTCCTCCATTGCAGTATTGCTAAATCTTTCCATCTTTCTTTGTACAATAATCTTGCTGCAGTTATCATACAAAAAAATACTGTTCCATGACATTTTTCCAACTGCCTAACCATCAGTCTCAAGAGGAAAAGTTCTGGTTTCAGTTGAATGTTAATCTTTAAAATCCTCTGCATCATTGTACATATTTGAACCCAAAATTTTCTAGCTTTTTTGCACATCTACCAAGCATGATAAAATGATTCTTCTTATGTTAAGGCATATAATGAAGTTAAAAAAGATACGTTAAGGGGGGAGAAACTATAATTGTCATTGTTGGAGAGAATTTCTGTGATAAAGATGAACATCTTGCCTAGAATGATGCTTCTGGTTCAGACAGTACCTGTTTTGGTAACTTATGTACCATTTAAACAGCAGGTAAAAGACATATCTAAGTTTGTAGAGCAAGGGAAGAAGCCACAAGTTAAATATAAGGTGTTACAAGATGCAAAGGAAAGAGGAGGATGGGGTTTACTTGATTTGAAATTGTATTTTGCAGTTTGTTGTTTGGTTTGGATGAAAGAGTGGGTGTTGCTGAGAAACAGAAGACTTTTAGAGCTAGAAGAACATGACCTGAGATTTGGGTGGCACGGATATTTGTGGTACAATGAAGTCAAGGTTTTACTGTATTATTTATTTATGGGTGTGTGTGTATATGCATGTATGTATGTATGTATATGTCTGTGTGTGTGTATACGTACACACATACACACACATATACATATGCATACATACATACATACAAGTATATGCATATATACCTGTATTGTATTTGCATTTTATATTGCTATTTCAAAGTTTATATCACCTGGATTTCTAGTTTTAATTTCTTTTTCTTGCTGCATACGTGTAGCCTGAGCAAGCCCCTTAGCATATTTTGATTTAATATTATTTTTTAGTCAAAATTCTTTGTTTGTATCTACTTCCCATAATTATCCTGACATTGTCAATTTAGTTTTGGATATTTTGGATATTTGAATGTCAATTTCCTTGCTGGTTCATGATCCCAATAAAGTTTGATTTGTTAAAGTCAAGGTTAATGTAGATTTCAAAAATCATTATGTTAAACGTGCCATATTGAGAATATGGAATAGATACAAATCCAGGCTGTGCCCGAAAACACCTTGGTGGCTCTCAGCACAAGAAGCATCTTATAGATGAGAAATAACAGGCAAACACAAAGGGCTAACTTACTGTGAGATGCTAGGATTCTGTCAAGGGGAATATAAAATAAAATCAAGAGAATAAACTGATAGCAGAGGGACACAGTTATCAATGGTTTTCTTATTCACAGTTATCAGAAAGATTTAAAGTAGATAAAATAATTCATGGTATTGAACATTTTAAGACTGATTTTGAAACAGAATTGTGTACAAATGATGAACATGTAATTGCTAAAATGTATAAACTTGTATTGAAATTTGAAACAGAAGAACAAGTTAAGGAATGCATGATAAACTGGATTAAAAATTTGGTTATAATATACTGATGGAACAATGGGGAAATATGTGGTTGAAAGGCTGAATTTACACAATGTTATAATTTTAAAGAGAATTTTTATAAAATGATGTACCACTGGAATATGACACCAAAACATTATCTAGAATGTATAAATTTATGTTGGAAATGTAAGCTACTGTGGTTCTTATCCAACGTCGCCCTTCCTTCCTTCCTCCCTTCCTTCCTTCCTTCCTTCCTTCCTTCCTTCCTTCCTTCCTTCCTTCCTTCCTT